GTGAACACTTTTCAATAAAGCCAATTAGTTTCTTCCATGAAAGACATTTCCCTAAGTGTATTTTGTGGAAATAGTTAACTGATGTTGCTGGTGAAGATAGTTGCATGGTTAAGTATGTTGAGAAATGTAAGATATTTCAGGTTCTTAATATGCTTAAAACATTGTGAAATTCTGAAACAAAGGATAGACTTTGAAGTGGCTCTGAAATTTATTTGGGTAAACAACTCTTAAAAAAATATTTTAAAAGATTCCATTGGGAAACAGTATTCTAAATTGAAGAGTATTTTTGAATTTTGTTTCTTTCGTTTAAAAGATGTTTCTCTTTCTTCCTGGACAGCAAAGCTGTTGGTTATGACTTCTTGCTTCCTACAATGTGCCTGGATCCAGAGGCTTTCCCCTCGATGGTCTGGAAAACTAGACCAAAGACTCCAAGTAAGAAATAAGTCTCTGTCATGAGTAAAAGGCGTGAGATCTAGTGCATGGAATTCGTGACGATAATATGGTGTCTTGAAGGAACTTTGTTTGAGGTTGTTGAATAAGTAAACTTTGAGTAAGATAATACTGTTAGCAGCTAACTATATCCACTGGTCATTAAAAGAGGTATAAAACTTCCCCTCAGACAAGGAAGGAGTGATTCAGTGATTGTATATAGATATAGCACTGTATATCTGTATACAATTGACCCAGGCATTCATGGACATTTATTTCATTTAGACTTATGGGAAATCTAAACTTTCTTTTTCCATTCTAAACCTTGAAAGCTGTAACTCATCATCTTATCCTAACCCCCATTCCCACTCCAAGCCATGTCCATGTTTGAATTCTCTAACTCAGTGAGAAACTATAAAATCAGAGGGTTTTCTTTCTTCATGCTTGGGATGTCTCTCCTCTCTCACTGTACTCCACACTCACCCGTCTGGCATAAGGCTCTCACCTCTGCTCCTGAAGACAGATGCCAGTCTAGCCCATGGGTATTCTTCCCCTGGAGAAGGAAATGGCAACCCACTCCAGTATTCTTGCCTGGAGAATTCCATAGACAGAGGAGCCTGGTGGGCTACAGTCCACAGGGTCGTAAAGAGCTGGGCATGACTGAGAGACTAATATTTTCACTCTCACTTTTATTCTTCCTTCTGCTCATCCTCTTTTCTCCTCTCTGTTAAACCTGGAATAACTCCTGCTTCATCAAGATATCATATGCTCTGACCCAATAGCTTACCAATAACTAGTGAAACTTGACAGATATATTTGTTGAGAGTGGCTTTTCAACTTGTCTGTATGAATTGTAAGGACAAGGTGTTTCAAGATTAGAAAAAAAGGGATATATCTGGTTTGTTTGAATTATCATCTGATTATTCTATATTGGTATCTCTGAGAGATAGCCATAGACCAGGAATATACTTTGGATTATAAATTTCAAAGCTATTACAATTTTGGAAAAGTAGAATTGGGTATCATAAACTAATTATAAATCATTTAATTTCTCTGCTCCTGATGAAGTTAGGCTCTTGACTTGAGAAGGTGAGAGGGCAGGTGAATGAAGAGGATAGGAATTGACTAGTGTGATAGACTAGGATACAATATACTTACAAGTGGCCTACAACTGTGAGTCATGTTATCAAGTACAATACATTTTTTTTTTTTTTTGGCAGTCTATTCATCTTTCGAACAGAGTAACTATAATTAGTGGATTTTCTATGTTTAAATATATTTTAAATTGTAAATGTATAATTAGGTTGACTTTTTTAACTGGAAAGAATATTAGAAAAAAGAAACTATGATGTTAAAACAACAAAACTGCCACTTCAAAAATGGTCAAATATTGGCAAGTTCAGATGGTTCAATTGAATAACATTTTTTATGGTCCATGAGCTTTCCCTTTTTCTCTCTCACTCTTTTATAATTTGACCTTATAGAAGATGAAGCTGTAAGGGGTCAGTTCCCCTAGCAGAGTGCTCTTTCCTCATGCTACACTGTCTTAAAGCCAAATGACTTGCTAAACTTTAGCCAGTCATTTGAATATACTCATGAATTACAGCACTTATTCTAGGAAAATGAATAGTAAATAACAGAATAATCATGTGAATATGTTTTAATTAACATCATTCCTTAATGCGCACATTTTCATGTAACTCAAATAACATGCTCATAATACAACAGCAGAATAAGAAGAGAGTTGTGGGTAAAAAAAGTTACAGGAAAAGAAAGAAATAGCTCTTATATAATAAATTCTGGGCTTGGGGGAGGCTTGGGAAAGGTATATCTCTTGCTATTTTACATATCTTTTGCTACTTGCTACTGATTTAGATCAAACCCCAAACTGCCCTCACATTACAGAGGAGCTCATTCATTGATTTTATTCTTTTTACCTTGATTTTCCAGGTTGTATGCTTTCATTAAGATTTATAAATAAATTTGCTCCAGTGAGCATATATTCTAATAATCTTGAAGTGATAGATTACTCAATGTTATAAGTTCATTTTTATCCCAGTGTTCTTTAAACTAAGAGCTACAGTATCATTAAGAGATAAAAATTTAATTTTCTCTCTTAACATCTGATGTTGGCAATGATTCCATTTTAGAATTAGTCATTTTTATTTCCTTCAGAAAATATAATTGGCCACTTGTGCTTTTTAACTAGTATGAATGAAACTGTAAACACAGCAATTTATTTGATGAAGGTCTATGTACATTTTTCTTTTACTGAAAATGGACTTTGATTTTATTGTACTAGATACAAATGAGTTCTACAGCAAAAATAAAATGCTACATCCTTGAGACTCCTCTGTGGGGAGAATAAACAACCCAGGGGCAGCTCTTCTGACTTTGATTCCACTTTTAATTCTTTATTACTTCTTGTGTTAAGAATTAATTTATCTGTGCACTTTGCTGTTGCTGTATACTTCTCAGGGACTAGAAACACTTACTAAATCCTCATTTCCCCACATGTAACCATTCTAGAATTTCACAGCCAGGCGCATATTCTAAACCTGCAACTAGATATCACCTTAATTGGTATTTCCTTCTGTAGGATATCTATATCTGTATCTCTCTATCTATAGAATATTTTAATATCCATTTAAGTATATTTCTTTTCTCAGTTTGGAGAGAAAAGTCTTCTGCCCCTCTCTGTCACAGCTAAAGGCAAAGTCTCCAAACTTGTTTCATGCTATGGGATACTTCTCTATCCAGCCTGGCATTCTAACAGATCAGAGATCTGAGATGAGCTGGCTTCATTTTTTACAGACTCTGACATTCGAAATAATTTGTTCAAAATTCAGTAGAGGAAAAGAACTAGCTATTTCCATTGTTAAATAGCACCATATACTAAATGTTAGGTAGTTACATTGTGAGTTTATTCATAGCTGTTTTCCATGGAAATTGATAAAATTATTGAACAGTTGAATTTTTGAGTTAGGGGACCTCAGCTGTAGTATAAACCACAGTTCATTTTACATATACTGAATGTGAGTTCTATAGAGATGACATAAAATGCTGAAGACCAAAGGGCTAGCTATGCAATTAAAAAATAGAGAACTTTGATAATTAAATGGTAAAGAAAGTATTTAGCTTTTATGTGTCTCTTTTGTTTCAATGTCTTAACTCAAAAGACCATCTACTAGTTTGGTCTTTTTTTCTGCATAACATAACACAGTTTTATATATAAATGTACATGTTGTATAATCACACAATATAGATACCAAGAGATGAACAGGTGGATACAAAAGTGTTCATATAACTCACTCTTATGTAATCTACTTCTGCCACTCAACAACATATCACTAACCTCTCTGTATACACAAATAAAAATCTGGTTTGAATGATGGCTCTTAAAAATCTATACAACGTTTCACTAAAGAAATGCCTTGTCATAAGCAGCTGTTGCTGCTGCTGCTGCGTTGCTTCAGTCGTGTCCGACTCTGTGCGACCCCACAGACGGCAGCCCACCAGGCTCCCCCGTCCCTGGGATTCTCCAGACAAGAACACTGGAGTGGGTTGCCATTTCCTTCTCCAATGCATGAAAGTGAAAAGTGAAAGTGAAGTCGCTCAGTCATGTCCTACCCTTAGCGACCCCATGGACTGCAGCCTACTAGGCTCCTCCATCCATGGGATTTTCCAGGCAAGAGTACTGGAGTGGGGTGCCACTGCCTTCTCCGTGTCATAAGCTACTTAACCTTTTTCATATTAACTGGATAGTAAGGCTGTTTTCTGTTTCCTATTATTATAAATAGCACTCTGATAGTCATTCCTGTAAAAGCATGTTTGAAAATCCGTTGGTTGGTCTTCTGTCTGCATGAAATTGACATGGACCTTTTGGGTGGTATTTCTACTGTGACATAGAAAGAGGTTGGAGTAATTCATAGTCTTTTCAGATAATTATCATTTTTGAAAACTTAAGTTTTCGTGATCTTGCTAGTTAGTTTAAAATATTTGTGAGAATAAGATTCCAAGACAATTTATCTATATAGAGTTTTTACTTTTCTGCAATTCTTTGGCAGAATTCAGTAAATAGAAGGTAGAGGATCACTTCTGAGCTGAGTTGAGTGGGGTCTTTCCATTTTGGTAACTATCTGAGCAGGGAAAGTAGAGAGAAATAACCATGTATTTCAAACTATTAAAACAGTAACAAGATTATTATTGAGAAATTAAATATCAATCAGTCCCTTCTCCCTCATATAAAGTTACATCAATACCATATTTGGGTGCTTCATTCTTCTTACTTACACTTGATAACTATGCACAGATTCTTGTATATATTAATTCTTCTTATATTCTCAAAGTAACACCATTCATTTAAATAAATATGCAGAATACCTGCCATGTGCCAGATACTGAGAATATAGGACTTTACCAGGCTGAGTTGGTTTCTGATCTGTCTCTCAATCCCAAAACAGTAAAGACAAATAAGAAATGCAATAAAAACTTGTTTTCAATCATTTAACTCAAGTCACTTATTTGTTTCAATATTGGCCATGGAAAGCATTGCTTTGTATCTGTCTTACCTGAAGGATTTTATCACCAGGCTGTAGCAGGTTGGATGCTGGTCCATCAGGTTGAACCCTAGTAACAAAGATACCCTATAAGTCAGAAGTAACAGAGGTTAGGATTCTATTTTCAAGACCTAGATCTACTTAAAAACTTTTTCATTTATATAGAAAACAGTGAAAACATTAAAATCAGTTTATACATATAGGGTTCAAAGATTATTATGGTATTTTAAGCAAGGCACATCTAAGTCAAGTTTAAGGAAAATGACATTTTTATTTGCATAAAAAGCTCATATTGCTTTTAAAATGCACTTATGATTTATAAGTTAAATTCATGGCATATTCTTAATTTCTTCCTTAAATAATTTCGTATGTGGTACTAAATCATCTTTTGTCTAACTTCTGGAGTTGTCTAAAATTGTTTCTCATTGAAAATGTCTCCTATTTGACAGGTTGTAAATTCAATATACACTTTAAAAACCTTACTAGAATTATATATAATACTGGTTTATTTTAATGAATATTACTTCATATGTTACTGAAAATTTTAAAGTGAAATGAACAAACTAAACATAAGAAAATTCCAACACAAATATTAAATACAAAGATTGCATCTACATAGTTACAAAATTCCTAAATTGATTTAGTTAAAAAAAAGGTCAAATTACAGTGATAAGAGAACAGACTGTATGACTTCAAAACCTTTATACCATGAAATTTTTGCACCGTGTTTTGTGTCCCCAGATATGTTCCAGTGTCTCTGGGCTTATGATCTACAGGAACTTGAATAGAATTTATCTCCTGCTGTTGTTTGAAAATTGTATAAATCTTAACTATGTTAAATTGGTTCATAGTGCTTTTCAAGCCTACTGTGTCCTTCTACTCTTCTGTCTATTCATTCTATTAATTTTTGAGAGTTTGACATTGAAACTTAAACTAAAAATCTTAATTTACTTTAAAAATTATTGTAATATATAGTAGAACTATATGTAATTTTGCTCTGTATTTTCCAAGTTTTCTGTACATGTTTTATCATATACTCACAATTCAAAAGATTAAAAAATTTAGCCAGACTTTATTCAGTCAAGGGAAAAAATAATTTTATTTATCATGTACACAAAGCAAACATTTATTGCATTTTACCATATGCAAGGCCCTGATCACATGGACCACAGCCTTGTCTAACTCAATGAAACTGTGAGCCATGTTGTGTAGGACCACATAAAATGGACAGGTCATGGTGGAGAGTTCTGACAAAACATGGTCCACTGGAAAAGGGAATGGCAAATCACTTCAGTATTCTTGCCTTGAGAATCCCATGAACAGTATGAAAAGGCAAAAAGATAGGACACCGAAAGATGAACTCCCTAGGTCAGTAGGTGCCCAATATGCTACTGAAGATCAGCAGAGAAATAACTCCAGAAAGAATGAAGAGACGGAGCCAAAGCAAAAACAACACCCAGTTGTGGATGTGACGGGTGATGGAAGTAAAGTCCAATGCTGTAAAGAGCAATATTGCATAGGAACCTGAAATATTAGGTCCATGAAGAAAGGCAAATTGGAAGTGGTCAAACAGGAGTGGACTGAACATGGACATTTTAGGAATCAGTGAACTAAAATGGACTGGAATGGGTGAATTTAACTCAGATGACCATTATATCTACTACTGTGGGCAAGAATACCTTAGAAAAAATGGAGTAGCCATCATAGTCAACAAAAGAGCCTGAAATGCAGTACCTGAATGCAATCTCAAAAATGACAGAATGATCTCTGTTCATTTCCAAGGGAAACCATTCAATATCATGGTAATCCAAGTCTATGCCCCAACCAGGAATGCTGAAGAAGCTGACATTGAATGGTTCTGTGAAGACCTACAAGACCTTCTAGAACTAACACCCCCAAAAGATGTCCTTTTCGTTATAGCGGATTGGAATCCAAAAGTAGGAAGTCAAGAGATACCTGGTTAAAAGGCAAATTTGGAGTACAAAAGGAAACAAATCAAAAGCTAACAGCATTTTGTCAAGAGAACACACTGGTCATAGTAAATGCTTCTTCCAACAACACAAGAAAAGACTCTACACATGGACATCACCAGATGGTCAATACCGAAATCAGACTGATTATATTCTTTGCAGCCAAAGATGGAGAAGGTCTATACAGTCAGCAAAAACAATACCGGGAGCTGACTGTGGCAAACATATCATGAACTCCTTATTGCCAAATTAAGACTTAAATTGAAGAAAGTATGGAAAACCACTAGACCATTAAGGTATAACCTAAATCAAATCCCTTACAATTAAACAGTGGAAGTGACAAATAGATTCAAGGGATGAGATCTTATAAACAGAGTGCCTGAAGAACTATGGACAGAGGTTCATGACATTGTACAGGAGGCAGTGACCAAGACCATCCCCAAGAAAAAGAGATGCAAAAAGGTGAAATGGCATCTGAGGAGGCCTTACAAATAGCTGAGAAAAGAAAAGATGCAAAAGGCAAAGGAGAAAAGGAAAGATATACCTATTTGAATGTAGAGATCCAAAGAACAGCAAGGAGAGATAAGAAAGTTGTCCTCAGTGATGAATGCAAAGAAATAGAGGAAAACAATATAACGGGAGACTACTGATCTCTTCAAGAAAATTAGAGATACCAAGGGAACATTTCATGCAAAGATGGGGACAATAAAGGACATAAATGGTACGAACCTAACAGAAGCAGAAGATATTAAGAAAAGGTGGCTAGAATACACAGAAGAACTATACAAAAAAGATCTTCATGACCCAGATAACCATGATGGTATGATCACTCACCTAGAGTCAGACATCCTGGAATGTGAAGTCAAGTGGGCCTTAGGAAGCATCACTATGAACAAAGATAGTAGAGGTGATGGAATTCCAGTTGAGCTATATCAAATCCTAAAAGATGATGCTGTGAAAGTGCTGCACTCAATATGCCAGCAAATTTGGAAAACTCAGCAATGGCCAAGGGACTGGAAAAGGTCAGTTTCATTCCAATCCCAAAGAAAGGCAATGTCAAAGAATGTTCAAACTACTGCACAACTGCACTCATCTCAAATGCTAGCAAAGTAGCACTCAAAATTCTCCAAGCCAGGCTTCAACAGTATGTGAACTATGAACTTCCAAATGTTCAAGTTGGATTTAGAAAAGACAGAGGAACCAGAGATCAAATTGCCAACATCCGTTGCATCATTGAAAAAGAATGAGAGTTCCAGAAAAACATCTACTTCTGCTTTATTGACTATGCCAAAGCCTTTGAATGTGTGGTTCACAACAAACTGTGGAAAATTCTTCAAGAGATGGGAATATCAGACCTCCTGTCCTGCCTCCTGAGAAATCTGTATGCAGGTCAAGAAGCAACTGTTAGAACTGGACATGGAACAACCGACTCATTCCAAATCAGGAAAGAAGTACGTCAAGGGTGCATATTGTCACTCTGCTTATTTAACTTATATGCTGAATACATCATGCGAAATGCCAGGCTGGATGAAGCGCAAGCTGGAATCAAGATTGCCGGGAGAAATATCAATAACCTCAGATATGAAGATGACACCACCCTTATGGCAGAAAGAGAAGAACTAAAGAGCCTCTTGATGAAAGTGAAAAGAGGAGAGTGAAAAAGCTGGCTTAAAATTCAACATTCAGAAAACTAAGATCATGCATCTGGTCCCATCACTCCATAGCAAATAGATGGGGAAACAATGGAAACAGTGAGAGACCTTATTTTGGGGGGCTCCAAAATCACTGCAGATGGTGACTGCAGCCATGCAATTAAAAGATGCTTGCTCCTTGGAAGAAAAGGTATGACCAACCTAGACATCATATTAAAAAGCAGAGACATTACTTTCCCACAAAGGTCTGTCTAGTCAAGGCTATGGTTTTTCTAGTAATCATGTATGGATGTGAGAGTTGGACCATAAAGAAAGCTGAACATCAAAGAATTGATGCTTTTGAACTATAGTGTTGGAGATGGAGAAGACTCTTGAGAATCCCTTGGACTGCAAGGAGATCCAACTAGTCCATACTAAAGGAAATCAGTCCTGAATATTCATTGGAAAGACTGATGCTGAAGCTGATACCCCAATACTTTGGCCACCTAATGCGAAGAACTGACTCACTGGAAATGACCCTGATTCTGGAAAAGACTGCAGGTTGGAGGAGAAGGGAACAATAGAGTATGAGACGGTTGGATGGCATCACTGACTCAATGGACATGAGTTTGAGTAAGTTCCGGGAGTTGGTGATAGATAGGGAAGCCTGGGGTGCTGCAGTCCATCGGGGTGCAAAGAGTTGGACACGACTGAGTGAAACAACTGAACTGAGCCCCGATTGCTGGTATTATAAAGATATACGGAATATAATTTTTGGCTTCAATGAGCTCACTATATAGTAGGAAAAAAAGTTAAGAAAACCAATGAGTACAAAGCAGTGTGACAAGTATTATGATAGAGGGATAATAGATTACTTAAAAAGCTGAATCCAGCTCATCCTTAGTGTGTCGGGGCTTCTAATTATGATAGAAACATAATAGATTATTTAAAATATTACATCCATATTAACTTTAATGTTTGGAGCTTTCAAGAAGAGGAGATAATTGGCAACTGATCATAAACGAAAATTAAAGGGTCCACACAGGTAAGGAGAGGAAAGATATTCCACATAAAAGGGATAGCATATACAAAAGTGAGTGCCTTTTTTATTGAGGAAGCTGCAAGTAGTTCTATTATGACTGCAGTGGTTGTGGAAGGGTTCAAGTGGGTTGGATTGGGAGTATGAGAGGAAAACCCATCAACCCCCCAAATTAAGTAGGCACCAGATCAAGACGGGCCTTTAATGGACATTCTTATCAGTTTGGGGAGCTACTGAAGTATTTGAAGCATTATGATAAAATTTTAATATCCTAAGAATCAGCATTTGTCCTAAGAATGGAGAAATAAAACATGTGTATTCAGTGGAATATTATTCAACGATGGAAAGAAATGAAGTGCTGACATCAGTGAACTTGGAAACAATGCTAAGTGAAATAAATCATTCACAAAAGACCACATATTGTATGATTCCATTTATATGAAATGT